TATAAAAATAATCTTGCCTTGCCTTGAAGTGACACACAATCTTCTTGGTTCCACCTTTTCCGAATCAACAGCTGACCTGCCCCAGCAAATGCCGCAGACAAAGATCAATCTTGTTTGAAAAAATAAGTCATGTTTCAACAATAAAAGCGAATATCATCCCTAGCCAACAATCAAGCGTTCCAATATTTTCCATCATTATCAATGCCTGATTAAGAGGTAAAAGTAACAAATGGACTCACATGATGCAGGAGCTGTGCCCAGGTGGTGGAGAGTATGGAGCAGGATGATTGACTGGCTGCCAGGATGAGATGATAAGGCTTTTGGACAGATGTGGTAGGCACGAGGCGAGATTGGGCCGTAGAGAGTTGCCAAGAACTGTTGTAATGAGATGGATGTGATCAGACATATGTCCAACATTCATAAAGGGTTCATTCATTTAGACAGATGAGCTCCAGTGAAGACAGCTTTGAAACACTGGCAGCATTATAAATATTAAACAAATAGTAAACATTCTTTCTGAAAAAATTGCCTCTTAGATTCTCTGGCTATCTTTTTGTGTTTTCACGTAAGGCAGTGTGTCTTCCTCTCAGTTTTTCATGCTGTTGTGCGCACTAATTGTTCAATACTGAATTAATCTTAACATGTGTTATATAACAAAGAAAAAACATAGACCCATTTCTTTAACCATAATTTTCGTGATCGATTAGCTTGATCCAGCTAGCTGTATGGGGGTCTTGTCCATGTTTCCAATGTTGTGACAGAACCTAGTCCTAAGGAAACATAGAGCTGATAGAACCTGAGGGAGCATAGAGCTGATGGAACCTAGGGCTGAGGGAACATAGAGCAGATGGAACCTAGGTTTGAGGGAGTATAGAGCAGATGGAACCTAGGTTTGAGGGAACATAGAGCAGATGGAACCTAGGTTTGAGGGAACATAGAGCAGATGGAACCTAGGTTTGAGGGAGTATAGAGCAGATGGAACCTAGGGCTGAGGGAACATAGAGCAGATGGAACCTAGGTTTGAGGGAGTATAGAGCAGATGGAACCTAGGTTTGAGGGAACATAGAGCAGATGGAACCTAGGTTTGAGGGAGTATAGAGCAGATGGAACCTAGGTTTGAGGGAACATAGAGCAGATGGAACCTAGGTTTGAGGGAACATAGAGCAGATGGAACCTAGGTTTGAGGGAGTATAGAGCAGATGGAACCTAGGTTTGAGGGAGTATAGAGCAGATGGAACCTAGGTTTGAGGGAGTATAGAGCAGATGGAACCTAGGTTTGAGGGAACATAGAGCAGATGGAACCTAGGTTTGAGGGAGTATAGAGCAGATGGAACCTAGGTTTGAGGGAACATAGAGCAGATGGAACCTAGGTTTGAGGGAACATAGAGCAGATGGAACCTAGGTTTGAGGGAGTATAGAGCAGATGGAACCTAGGTTTGAGGGAGTATAGAGCAGATGGAACCTAGGTTTGAGGGAACATAGAGCAGATGGAACCTAGGTTTGAGGGAACATAGAGCAGATGGAACCTAGGTTTGAGGGAACATAGAGCAGATGGAACCTAGGTTTGAGGGAGTATAGAGCAGATGGAACCTAGGTTTGAGGGAGTATAGAGCAGATGGAACCTAGGTTTGAGGGAACATAGAGCAGATGGAACCTAGGTTTGAGGGAACATAGAGCAGATGGAACCTAGGTTTGAGGGAGTATAGAGCAGATGGAACCTAGGTTTGAGGGAGTATAGAGCAGATGGAACCTAGGTTTGAGGGAACATAGAGCAGATGGAACCTAGGTTTGAGGGAACATAGAGCAGATGGAACCTAGGTTTGAGGGAGTATAGAGCAGATGGAACCTAGGTTTGAGGGAACATAGAGCAGATGGAACCTAGGTTTGAGGGAGTATAGAGCAGATGGAACCTAGGTTTGAGGGAGTATAGAGCAGATGGAACCTAGGTTTGAGGGAACATAGAGCAGATGGAACCTAGGTTTGAGGGAGTATAGAGCAGATGGAACCTAGGTTTGAGGGAACATAGAGCAGATGGAACCTAGGTTTGAGGGAGTATAGAGCAGATGGAACCTAGGTTTGAGGGAACATAGAGCACAGATGGAACCTAGGTTTGAGGGAGTATAGAGCAGATGGAACCTAGGTTTGAGGGAACATAGAGCAGATGGAACCTAGGTTTGAGGGAACATAGAGCAGATGGAACCTAGGTTTGAGGGAACATAGAGCAGATGGAACCTAGGTTTGAGGGAACATAGAGCAGATGGAACCTAGGTTTGAGGGAGTATAGAGCAGATGGAACCTAGGTTTGAGGGAACATAGAGCAGATGGAACCTAGGTTTGAGGGAACATAGAGCTGATAGAACCTAGGCCTGAGGGAACAGAGCTGATAGACCATAAATCACCTCTTCCTCCTCCCAACCTTGACCTGTGACTCTAAACACAATTACACACCTTTTAATCAAAACGATAGCACACAAAATAAGCTAAATGCTGCACTTGGGTGACCCTAAACAACATGTGCCCTGCTGCTATTGCTAACGGAAATAAGCTCATTCACCAACTGTTCGAGCTAATTTTGTTTCAATATAGTTAGATATTTACAATCTACGTATAGATAAAAAAGTTAAATGTGACTTCACCCTGCCAACAATACCTTTCTGCTAGGTTGTCGTCCATTTCAATATGTAGCTTGACGTTCCCTGGTCTGCTTCTGGAGGATCCACGAACCGAATGGCTTGGGCTCTGATTATTTCCAATGCAAAAAGTTGTTCATGTTTTAAAAAGAAATGCTTTTTTAAAATTTAGATGATTCTGAGTCCCACAGTTAAATATATGAAGACATAATTTAACAATAATCAAAAAAGCCATTCATAAATATGATATCATAAATTGAATTACTTTAACGTAGAGTTACACAATTTAATAATGATTTTGAAGCGGAAATTAAAGTTGTTTTAATATTGGTTTATGCTAACATTGTGTGAACTGTATGACGTACAATAGCATCATTACCTGCGGTTATTTCATGGTTAATGCATTAGCTTAACCATTGGACAGGGAAGACTGAGATTGCCTAAGCAACAGCGGCATCTAGTGGCCCTTTTATAAATTGGCAGACTTGCGTTTTCATTATAGCTTCGAAGAATAATATTACAATTGCCCTTTGTTCATTACAGGGCTTATTTTTTTTGTTCATATCATTAGGAGGTGGGTAGTGCTCTTCTGCAGTAAGAGATTTTATAATCCGCTATGTCTGACCATGGACCTTTGCTTTCCTCCTAAATGTGTAGTCATAGTAAGAGAAGAAAATTATGAGTTTCTTGTCCAAAATGCTCAAGATACAATTGAAGAGAGTATGAAGAGAGTGAAAAAGCTGAGGCGTGGTGCTGCTCCTGAATATTTATGAATGTAAATATTTAGAAATGTATTGTGAACACCATTAAGTGGTAGAGGAAGGCATGATACAACGCTTAAAAACCCAACAAACAAGTTTTGACATTTTTTTTATTTAGTTCCATTTTAAAATGTACATTTTTGTCAAGAATTATTAAAAAGATCGAAGCATCATCTGTCTTTCAGTTTGTATCACAAATAAAGTGACCAAAACTGACAAAGAGTAGGCACATTTTTAATCATTTATGAAATAAATTGCAGTCTATATACAGCAGAAGTTTTGTATTTGATGACAACACATGCTTGAGGCTTGAAGCACACGTTTGTAAATGTTTTAAAGGGAGGATTTCATTAAAACAGGCTATTATGGCAGTTCAATTTCAAATAAATTAAACCTAAGACAAGAGAGTTTGGAATCTCAGAAAGCATGTTAATGTAACTGCAGTGCATGTCAAAATCTCTCAATAAAATTATATGGAAAAAATAAATTACTAATGAATAGCTGTTATAAGTATGTCATTGTGAAGAGTACCTGATATGCTTTCTCCAGCCTTAGAATGTCACCTTTGCATCACCTAGAGAAAACTTGTCCAAATGGATTAAAATCACAGTAATTCATTCCTTAGTTCTCATTCCACCTCGATCAGGCGGAGGATTCTACCCTGCAGAATCCACAATCTGGAAAATGTATACAAATAAAGGACACTTATTTGGTGGTTTATATACATAACACTTTTGTACAGTCTTTGTGCTTTCCTCATGATTGATTGAAGCACTTGTGGAAAAGGTTGAATGAAAATACATTTACTAAACATAGCCTGAAATGACCATGTACAATTGTGCACGTCCTTTGAGATCACAGTTTTCATTAAATAAACCTACAGGGGGCATCCACCTTCAGAAGGCTGTTTACGTAGTTGCAAAACAATCTGTGAACCTGTGAAAGATCATTCTTTGTGATGGGAATTGCTTTTGATAACGTACGTTAGAAGAATAGCCACTAACAGTTGTTAATAGTTCGTTCACGCATGTAAAATACAGCTATCTAAACATTGGCAGTGTGAGATCTGATATGGGATTTGAGATAAATTGCTATTTATGGTTTAAAACCAAATAGCCTTATGTTAATCAGTGTGTAAGTGCAATTGAACATGTTATATTACAATTAAAAAGGCTCATGAACGTGGCTGCTTTGAATGAGTTGTATATTGTGTCCTGGAAGAACCCAGCCAGGATGAAGTAGAAAGTAGCAAATCCCAGTAAAGATTCACAAATCGTGCCGTTAAACAAGTCCTTTTTGACAAGTTTGAAATGAGGTCAAATCAACACTATCAAAATAGTTATGTATAGTAGCTTGGTCTCGATACAATTTTCAATGGGGAATAAAAAGGGCACTAATTTAAATGAAGGCTTATTAATGTCCACAATGGGGCAACAGGCAAACCCCATAACTAGTCCAGTCTGGTTGCCTGCGTTCACATTGCATACAGCTTATTGTTGGCCAACACTCCGACAGAGCAGGTCAGGGCTCGACTGCAGCTCCCCCTGATGGAACCGAGTGAGGCATAAACAGTTTGTGAGGCCCGTGGTCAGAGAGCAGTCACAGCTCATCACTTGGTTCCTTTGTTGGGGGTGTCTGTCTCTGTTGACTGGCGGCCATCGTTCCAGGCCTCTCGGGTGCTCTTCAAAGCCTGTGTCCGATGCCTGTCCACAACCACGTAGTCCACACGCTCGTCTGATGCCGGCATGCTTCCCCCGTTGCTTTTCATCTGTGTTACAAATGTTAACATTAGCATTTGTTACATGCTCATGTCCGAAATAATCAGCAAGATCTGGCAATAGTAAAAAAAAACATAGCATTTCTTGTTAGCAACTGTTTGAGAGCATACCAAGAACAAATAACTTTGCTGAAGAGGTTTCCAAGTACAATTCAGCTAAAAGCATTTAATATCAGGGTTAAAAGGTTATAAGGGTTATAAGGTTAAAATGTTTGAGCGCATACAGGTAAGGATGCTTTATAATTTTCTCTTTTAAATGTGATTATGATTTTACTTTCATAATTTTTTCTCTTGTTTTTGTGAGGCGTTTTATGTTGTGCAGAACTGTGCTATAAGAAATAAACTTGCCTTGCGTTTTTAAAAATACTCTCAGTTCAATAAAAACAGGCAACATGAAAATCCTTGGTTAAGATACATTCAGTGAGGTTGTTACTTGTGAGTAACCCAAACACTGTAAAGAAGTGGTCCTCACCTTCCTCGGTGGAGTGGACGTTCCAGACTCGAGGTCCAAATCTAGATACTCCACCTGCTTGTCTCCTTTTGGTTTAGACATGGGGCTGCTTCCACCGTCAGACGTCATGGGCGGAACAAGCTTCATGTTCTACACGTCATCAAAAGACAATCTTATTAACGCTATAGCAACAGCATTTCACAACATGTGTGTTGTCACAATCACCATTTACTTTTTAGTAGTAATATGGCATTTCCTTGTTTTTCAGGGAAAGCCTTTACTATTCAAGGCTGTAGTTAAAATAGATGTTGCGTTAAGAAACCTAAGTCTTTGTTTAATTATGATTTTTGTGACAACACAGAAAGATGTGCAAGTTTAGACTAATCTACAGGTGTGTGGGGTTAAAGACTACAACATGCTAACTAATAAATTTCACTATAGCCACTATCGAATACCAATGATTTCACACTTGCCAATAATTCAGACAATATAGTTTTCTGACAGGGTAAGCCATGCAGATGTATGGTGGCAACCCTGCTCACCTCCTCTATGGCTTCAACCTCCTCCACCTCCCTCTTTATAGGGGTGATGGGAACAGTGCAGTAGAAGGACTCCTCTCTTGCATAAGCCAAGAAAAAAAGCAGGAAAAAGAAAAGATAAAGCTTTAGTAAAGCAGAATGCCAAAGCAAGAAGGAACAGAAAATAACACAAAAAGCATTGGACAGAAATGGAAAAATAAAAGATCGATAGCAAATCAATTTGAAAACACCACTGTAATACGTAAACTGAAAGGCAAGGGGACAGCTGTGCCCTGGGATTAAAATAAATACAGCAGAGATGAATCCTGTAAAAAAGAAAGTAATTTAAGTGTTGCCAAGCAAAGGAATAAAAGGAAGAGAGGGCAATAGCTGTGAAAAAGAATAATTGACGTTTTTGAGGAGTCCCTCTTCGGCACCGAGACATGATCTTCGCTTTGCCCCGTTGTTGGGCAAACTCACAACCAGGCCAATTCAAATAGACTTATAAAGGATTTCAAACACATCTTGTTATGATTGAGAAACAGCGTTGTTACATACTGGTTCGTCTGGGGGGACCATGGGTACATAATTGTCATCGCCATCCTCGGAGTCAGTGCTGGAGGCTGTACTATGCACTGAAGCAGGTCGCGGTGGGATTGGAAACCTAGAGAAACTGTGGAGCATTCAAAATGTTTACACGCCGCCTTTTCCGAGGACACACGCAGCCCTCTTATGAGCACAAAATAAATGCGTTGCAATGAGTCCCTGTGGCCGAGTATACAGGGCAGATCATACAAACGCATTACTTGGATTTTACAAGACGAAGAAGTAGAGGAGAGACCCATTAATCCACAGAATAGTGCTAATATAATCGCTACTGAGACTACCAGAATGCATGAAGTGTTAGTTCTGATGATGAGGCTAATTGTTCACACCATTCACAGTTACATAGAGTTCAAATTGCTGAACCAAATTGCTGGAATATTCTTTGAAGAAAGAAAAGTTATTATATTGTATTAAAAGGTGAATTCCAATTGTCTTTTACCTGGAATGATCCTCAGTATTGCATTATTATTCCACCAACATTGTAAGGCTGTCGATTAATTGTAACTAGTCGATTATTGAAAACGCTATCAACTAATTTAGTAGTCAATTAATCAGTTTTAATCCCAACTACAAATGTGCATGATTGTGACTACACGATATTTGTAAAAAAAACTGAACTAAAACCACATGTTTAGACCTTAACAAGCGGTTTGACTCCGACAGAGATAAAATTGATAAGGAATCGCATTGATTTGTCTATATTTCTAATCAAAAAAACAATTATGATACATGTAATCTCTACAATGTTCTCGAGTGACATCACTTTAGCTTTGTTCTGGTCAAAGTGTATCCTCTGCGACTGTTTCTTTTGTTCAAAGAAACCTGCCCACTGAGACGTGCAAAGTTTCTTCTTTTTCTTGGAAATGTACCTTTTAAGGATTTAATGTAAATCGATGGATTTGAATTAAAAAAAGAGACTCATCTAAAAGAATATTTGGCTGAGATTAACCATTATCTTGGTAATTGATCCCAAAAGCTCAGTGAATATGGGATTATTTCAACAGTTGACCTGTTTTGGTCTTCAGAGATATGACTTAGATATTGGGTTGTATTTAAAATACTTTTTAATTTCATTTTGCAGTCATTTGAGAATTATCTGAATCATAAAACCTTTTCTCAAGGCTATGGAAGATTAAAAACCATTAATCAATGACTGTATTAAATTAGTTCATAATTATTCAATAATTTAATTACGTTAATTACAGCCCTATTACATTTGCTTCAAAAGGCCACACTTTAAACTACGTAACTTCAAAGGCCTCATCTGCAGGATGTGTCAGAATTCCTTTTTTTTTGCTGTGAAAAAACATTTGCAACTAAAACAAAACAATATACAGAGGTCCAATCAAAGCAAAAATTAACATGAACAGGAAGCGGACATAAGGCACCTTAAAAAGCAAGACAAGTGAATGGTGTGAACAATGGTTGGAATAATGACGGAACACTCACTCTCTGGCAAATGTGCGTGTGACGGGCGAGCGGACCGGCGTGCAGGGCTCCTCCCACTCAGGCAGAGGTTTGATCTCCAAAGGCGCTGGCCTCCCTGCTGAGGGACAAGAACAGGGATGAGTAGGGTAATATTTTATGCCGCCTCGATTCAAAGGCGTAAGATGCTATTGAATTATATTGACTAAAGGGAAGGGTCATTACATTGTTTTGCAATATTTCGAGAAGCAATTTATTTACAGTTGTGCTTGAATGTTAAAAGCACACTATTTTTTAGATTATGAACAAACCCACAAACTTTTTTTCTCTCCCATTGTTGCCATTTACAGGTGAAACTCGTAAAATTAGAGTCCATTCACTTCTGTACTTCAACTTAAACAGAGAAACAAATATATGACAGACCTTACATGCAGAGTGAGATATCAAGCCTTTAATTGTTATAATGTTGATAATGGGCTGATATATTTGAAAAATAGACTGAGCCAGAATTAAAAATATAATTAACAAAGGCATATCTCATGGACCGAGTGTATAAAATATATTGGTTTCAACAAGTTGAATTACAGAAATAGAATAAAAGAAACATTTCACCAAGTTTCTTCAATTGAAAGCTGGGGGATGGAGATTCAGAAGAGAAGTTTCTCTTGGCATCATCATTTGAAAAGAACGTGGCTTTTCATTCATAATTTTCAAAATATGGTTGTGTACTTGTAACTGTAAACAATTATATAATGTGTAGGTTTTTTTTTTTTCCATACAGTAGTTCTGTTTTTATTTCATTTTATTTGTATTGTACTTGTCTATGTTCTCTTTATCCAAATACAGTAACCAAAAAATAATTACCGTTAAGAAGTTTGGTCAAGTGAAATTTAGGTCGTTTAAGAAATGACAGTTAGAGACAAAAGTTTTCTGCCACCAATGACTTATTTCCAAATTGTTTACCATACATATCTCAAATAAGTTTACTAATTCACCACCATGCGCACTTGCAATGCAGCAGGCGGAGGTCTACAGAGGAAAAATTCACCATGAGTTTTTCCAAATATTGAAAGTTTGAAGACACAATGGAGGTGGACTACGTACCCTCTAATTAGTACCCACAGTGCATTGCTATCTGCCAGAAAAACGACTAAAGATGTGTAGTGTTTGAAATCCATAATGTTATACATTATTGTAGCTCTTGTTGGCATTATTCACCAGATTGATGATCAACGCATTTTCAATCTCTAATTCCTGTGGATTTTATATTGGGAAGGTTACTTCCAGAAACCTTAAGCTCTGCCCACTTCACAGCTCCATGTGTGTTATTCACGGTAAGTTTCAGTTTTTTCTTTGTTTAACACATTTAGAGCACACACTCTTTTTTACCGTTCAGAAGTCCATTTACATTAATGGATTAATGGATTAATCCATTAATGTAATTAATGGATTAATGGATTAATTAAACTTGAATCTTATATAACATTACACGCAGAGTGAAATATATCAAGGCTGTATGTTATAATTCATACATTTATTCATTTATGTGAGCTGATCTGTTAACACACGTGCAAGATATTCAACAGTGTCAGTCAATCACAAGAGTAATGAAAATATTAGACAAGGAAAACACAAAGAAGCCTGATGCTCAAACATAGTAGGAGGAAGTTAGTTGTATCCTGCTCCTCCAATTAGGTTGTGAATACCCCCCAAAAAACACCTAAATATTACAATATTTTGAAAAAAGTAAGCCATAATCGTCAAAATCATAACACAGAAAAGCTTAGCATATGTCACCTTGCAGTAAATACAGTAAATACTACTTTAAATACTTTTAACAGGACAGAAACCCAGAGGAATCCTTCAGTAGTAGTAGTGGTAGATCACCAAGTGCATGCAGAGAACAGATGGGACAGTAGAGTGTGTGGTACCTACCCCTGCGGCGTCCCCTGGGCAATTCACCTATGGTTTGAGAGTCCGTTCTCTCTAAACCCACACCTTTTGCTCTTATTATTTTAGGACTCTGACCTGATTGGTAAAAGAAGACTTGGCTCATTACAAACACTTTGGCAATCACAGCAATGACACCCATATGTATACAATTTCTCTGCCATGCAAAGCCACAGACGAGATGATCCATCGATCACACGCCATGTTGTGTGCGGATTGCGAGATGGACGGTTGTCATGACAACAGCAGACGATGCTAACGAACATGCATCTCGCTCCATGCGCTGAGGCTTCCCACGCAAACACACAAGATCACATCTTTGCATGCACTTACACTGAACTCAGACAGGACTTTGACATGAAGAAAAGGGCGCGTTGGTGTTAATCAGAGCGTTAATTCAAGATTATGAATGAAAATGTGAAGAAAAGAATCTGGAGTGATCAAGAGAGAAGACAGAAAAATTGAATGGCTCATGGATTAAGACATGGTAAAAGAGGACAATAATATATGTTGGCAGATAGGCTGTTGTTAAATATGATTACATATCAGCTTGAAAACCGGCTGCAAACCAAAGACCATATGAGTGGATTAAGCGAGTGCCTGAATGCAGAAGAAGACCATTTCAATTTAAGCTAGCTTGCGCAACTGCCATTTTATGTGCAACATGGGAAGACGTGTTGCCAAACTGAAGTTTCCCCGCAAATTAAGGCATCTGATTGTAAATTCAGAGATAAGGATTGACCACAAATAATGTTAAAAAGAAAACCCTAGCACAAACGATTACGGAGTAAGAACAGTTTACTTTTCAATGTACGTCAGTAGGAGCAATAGCAAGTAGAAGCTACATTTTGTCCATGACTATTTCATTATTGGGCTTAATTGAGCTAGGTGGTTAGCATTGACAATCAATATAGAGTCTAAGCTTTATAACATATAGCAGGAAGTTTATAGGCAGATCATACAATCATATTTATACATTGTAAGGTTGTCAATCAGCAGTTATCATTACAATAACTAAATGACTTGATCAGTAATACAATAGAAGGTCTGGGACACGTTTAGGCATGTCCTAATTTTATAAAATCATAAATTACATTGTTTTGTGTCTCAATTTTGAGCATGTTCATTCTCAGAGAATGCTGAAGTGCTCCGCTAATGTTGGCGAGTTAAATGCATAAGATAAGATGTAAAGTAATACATTATTGTCAACACACTTAAGTCACTTTATTCTTGTCTGTGTGCACATAAGCACTGGCCTGGAAAGTTATTGCACACATTTGTAACTTTTTACAAACTCTGCAGTAGAAATTTAAAATCTTTTTTATTCGTATTTCACGCTCAAAATGCAACACTGAAATTTGCCCTTTTGGAACAAATAAATGTTTTCGTTTTAACCTTGAAAATCAGGGACATGGCCTCACAACTCTGGGGCTGCTCTACATGTATATGTGTGCGTGTGTGCTACTTCTGCCTGCACAGACTTAAAGTCCTGGTTCTATTAATCAAAGGATGCCATTCAGATGAGTGGAACAAAGGGGACAGAGGTGACCACTCGGCTCTTTGGTCAGTCCATGGCACAGGGATCAGGCGACCTCCAAAACACTCCACATGGCCTCATCCGAATAACAGTGCTTTTGTCTGGGCCCATCTGTGCTGAGGGCACTGGACAAACTCATCTGAAGGTGAAACTGGCTTGTTAGGGACAGGCATACACTGGGCCCAGGTCAGTACGGTCAGTACTGATCAAGTTCGCGGACGACACCACCCTCATTGGACTCATCTCCAACAACGATGAGTCCGCCTACAGGAGGGAGGTGGACCGGCTGGTGTCCTGGTGCAGTGGTAACAACCTGGAGCTGAACGCCCAGAAGACAGTGGAGATGATTGTGGACTTCAGGAAGAGCACTGTCCCCCCGCCCCCACCCTCCGTGATGGACTCCCCCATCACCTCTGTGGAGTCCTTCCGTTTCCTGGGCACCACCATCACCCAGGACCTCAAGTGGGAGCCGACCATCAGCTCCCTCATCAAGAAGGCCCAGCAGAGGATGTACTTCCTGCGGCAGCTCAGGAAAGCCAAGCTGCCTGCACAGATGTTGGTGCAGTTCTACACACGGCCATCATCGAGTCCATCCTCACCTCCTCCATCACCGTGTGGTTCGCTGGAGCCACAGTCAGGGACAAACAGAGACTACAGCGCATTGTGCGCTCTGCAGAGGAAGTGATCGGCCGCAGCCTTCCATCGCTGCAGGACCTGTACGTCGCCCGAGCTCGAGGCCGGGCTGGTCGTATCACAGCCGACCCCTCTCACCCTGCACATGGACTATTCCAACCACTCCCCTCAGGCAGGAGGCTGCGGTCCATCAGGACTAGAACCTCCCGCCACAAGAACAGTTTCTTCCCCTCTGCTGTTGGACTCTTGAACACTTCTTAACCTGTCCCCCCGCCCTTTATAAAGTCACTTTACTGCCCATCATACGTCACTTTACTTCACTGTACTGCTGTCACCTTACATTGTGTGCACCATGTGCACTTGTATATTGTAAATAGTAACTGTAACTCTATTTTAAATTTAAATTTATTCTTTAGAAGTGTTTTTTATTCTTATTTTTATTATCTCTTTTTGACTGTTGCACTGAGCCAAAGCAATTTCCAAGTCTGTGACCTCCCGTTACTTACGTTGGCAATAAAAATGATTCTGATTCTGATTCTGATTCTGATTCTGATTCTGATTCTGATTCTGATTCTGATACATTGACCGGAGTCATTTAAAACACCAAAACACATCTCTCAACGGTATCTGGTGCAATTCCCAAATTGTATCCGAAAATTTAATTTAGCTGCAGAATTAACGGTGAGTGTGTTTACAAAAGCACAAGTGAAAACTAAATCCTCCACCTACTGAAATTTAGTCTGTTTGATAAAGACGCATGTAGACCTGTGTGTGCCAACTGAGGAGCTGGTGCAGTTGAGCTGTATGTACAAATGTACATGTATTTATGTAAATGCCGAAAGTAATTATTAGTATTTGTAGACGCGCTCGCTGAAAGAAAGTAGTCACTGGGTGGGCATCTAGTTAATATGTGGTGCTTCAAAGTTAAATACACAATCCCTATTTAGCAGAGTAGTGTTCATTATAATCCCCATGAGCCAGTGCTGGAGAAAAGCAGATTTGAGGATGAAGCATGAAGAGCGAAGTTGTGGCATTAGTCAGCACACGATGGCCCCAGGAGCACACAGCAGGATGTAAGAAAGCAGCACATGCCTCAGTACCTTGGTGGCTCTCACCTTTGCGATCAGGTTTGAGGTTGCGGTCCACAGGTGGGGGCTGACAGTCGCTCATCATGGGCCGTCGTGGGGGGGTCTTGGGACTGGAGCGGAAGCCCATGTGTGCAGGGGGGGGCACCTGCTTCCCCAGGGAGGAGAACTCCATATTGCTTGGGGTCATGGGTACGTAGTTGACGTCGGACAGAATGTCAGAGTGATGTGATGGAGAGTTGGCAGTCATGGGAACATAGTTGCTCTGATCTACTTCTTCAGTGGACTGGCTTCCCAGGGGCATCATGCCTTTGTTTTTCTAGGTACAAGAGACAAAACAAATTTTTTCACGTCACAAAAAACCCCTAAAACAGTATCACCTAATAATATACTTACAAAATAACTATTGAAGCTTTCATTGAAATCAAATGAGCAGCTTTTGTCCGAAGGAAATGACCTAGGAATGTCATAGCAGTCCTGTGACCCAAAATCTGCAGGGAATAAATAGATACAAGTGAACACGTAAAGCAGGACTGGAAACCAGTATGGCTTGAAAATAATTAGCAAGTAACTAAATAAACTAATTAAATCTGTTTGAATACAAGAACAGGAGTGTGGAAGTCATCCTATCAGAAATGCACTCTACAGCAAGAATTGTTGTAATCATCGTTGTCACCACTAGATGGCGAGTGATGTGGGACCTGTTAAAAGCCCGTTCAATTCAGGAATTACTTGCTTGTTTTTCTCTTCACACTTTCTGGCTCTGGTATTCTGTGCTGGCAGCAGGTTTGTTATGAGACAAGTTATCTGCACAAGGAAGGAATTTCAAAAGTTTTAAAACAGTTCACTTCTTTTAAATTATGACAATTTTAGGAGAAAACTGTAAATGTAATGGTACAATCTCCTTCTTTGTAGAAGTAAGTAACACACACCAAAACACTAACTGAGGAGCAGATATAGGGAAAGTTTAATTGCACTCTCAAGTTGCTCAAAATTCCTTTGTGCAATATTTTTTTTCTTTTCTGCACTGGTCTGAACAATCAAATTATTGATGAAGGTTTTGAGGCCTAATGTACTTTTTAAATAAAAATAACGGTTTTATCGCGCTTCTTCACGCTTTTTATAAGACCCACAGACGCTTTATTCTCTCCATACACTGTAGACTGTCTGTCATCATCCCACCAATCAACCTACCACTAGTCTAAGTGTGTATTGTCTCAGGACAGCCGCAGCCGTGCAACTGTGGGACTTTATGTTTCCAAAAATAAACATCAGAGTACTGATCAGGCCTTCTCCTGCTTAGCTTCTGAGATCTGAGGGGATAAGTCTTTCACATGGCATGTATGGCTGCATAAGTAAACACATGGTGCTTAAAATAAAATTAATCTGCAAAGGCTAGGAATATAGAATTAGGAGTTATTAAAAAGTGACAAAAAACAACATTGTCAATACTACTTAGCCACCAACTCAAACTCTTCATCTATTGAACTATTCAATCTTCAGCTATCAGAAAATGTACCATGAACAGGTACAGACATCTGCACCATTGACCATGTATTACCCCCTTTAAAAAAAAAACAAGGACATGCACAGGTACAGATGTCTGCAGCATTGCCTGCTGAAAAGCGGCGTCTAACCTTTGCGTAGCCGGGAACAGTCCACAGTGCCGAGGGTATTGCTGCGCAGTGCTTTGTTCCCAGCGGCTGTAGGCACGCAGTAGTTTCCGTCCGTTTCCGAGGCGGAGCGGGGAACGCAGTAGTTATCTGTGGGCGAGCGCTCTGCGGGGGGGTGCGGGGGTCCCGACGTGGAAGTGAAAGAGGGTTTAGGAGGTCTCGGAGGCGGAACCACGTCTCCGCCGCTCTCTGACCCTGTGGACGACATTGTTCGGGGCACCTGATATGTGCAGTTGGAACCAGGCGTGGTGGGGAAGTCGTAACTTATGGACATGTTGCGCAGCTGCATCTCCATAGAAGCCTTTCGGGAGGGCGTGTTGAAGGTGTACACCTCGGGGGGCTCAGTGCTATCTGGGTGCGTTGAGGGAGAAGGGGCCGATTTGGGGGCGAGCACAGTGTCCTGGGAGTAGCTGCGTGGCAGGTGGTATAGACCAGAGTCAGTGGAGAAGGAGGTTCCGCGTGACGGAGGGGAGTCGTAGATGGAGGAGGCCGAGGCCGGGCCGTGGTGCGGGGGGAAGAAGCCATTGTGTGAGCTGTGCTTGGCTGACGAGGTGGAGGTGGGCGTGCGGTGTGAAGGGAGGTTGTCATTTAGGTCGGTCTCTGAAGAGGTAGACTTTGCATGAGCCCTAAAGACAAAAACAGCATGAATGTGTGTGACTTAAAATGGCTAAGCAAACTTCAAACACTATTGTTGCACTTTTATCAAACTACAAATAACACAATATTGTGATTTTGTGTTGACATGAAAGGTTTGCCCTTTCTAGTTAGTGACAAAATGATGCACGTGCAGTTTAAAGAGATAAATAAAACTTCTTAGTGAGAACAAGCTCCACAAGCAGGCAAATCCAGCTGACTGGCTAACAACTCACAGACAAGCTTGTGGACAGAGAGTCCTGCTCTCACATTCCTCCAGAAGGAAATACTCCTGGTCTCCCTCCAGTGGAGAATCAAGCTGCACAGAGATGGGACTGAGCAAGGGCCAGAGTGTCAGACAGGAGAAAAGCAGAGAGCAAAGGACAAGGAAGATCGACAGAGTGCTGACACAGCACAGCTGGGCTTACCTGGGAGGATCAGGCTTCTTGCTCTCACAGTTGACCAGCCACAGATAGTCTTCTGTGGGCTCCTCTGAACTGGATTGGGAATCAAGACGAGGGACTTGGACAGGTTGATATGGAGGAGGGACAGCAGACAGCACAGACGACGATGGGCCCATGATGTTCCCATGGTGAGTAGGGTGTGGGGGGGTGTCCACCACCAGGCCTGAGGATGACTGTGACGAGGCTTTGGCAGCTTCTGTGAAGAAACACAAGTGCAAACTGTGTTGGACTATGCTGTATTAAACAGATTTCAGTACATGTGTATGACATACCAAACACATAAAATGCTTACAAAATTGATTCTTGTATACCATGTTTCTACATGGTTTCTACGTGTATAGTGCTTTGGCCTCACACAAAATCCTAGGTGGTGCACTGCTAATGGGAGGTTTAGCAATGAAGCATGGGTCAAATGCAGAGGCAAAAAGTATACTTTACACTTAACTTTTATCACAGTGAGTAAAACATTCACAGATAAAACAATTAAAGCTTCACTTGCTGTGAACATCATGCATAATGATAACCCTAACTCTCAGGCAGCATTTCTTCAAGGTCCCAGCTTCACACAGACTTTTCAGATTGAACAGTTCTTTTAAATACCTTCTGCTTGAGCTGATTGTTGTTCTTCGCCAAGAGCCAAGATGGCTTCTGCGTATGCTGGATGAAAACATCTATGCTATCTGACACTTTATTTTCTCCTTTTCACAGTTTTCCTCCCACTCAGTTCCATAGCGACAGCCTCCTTCTCTCATTTTTTTGAGTCCCAACTAATATGATTGATACAAATTGATTTAGTGCTCAGCTCCTCTGGTCTGGTCACAGCCTTCAGTGGTGACGCAGAAGGGGAAATCCTTAATGCTCGGCCCTTATGATCCGCCTACACTCCAAGCACTTGTTCCCAGTGTTGTCGGTGGAATACCTGCTCAGCCTTGAAGCTCACCACTGCCCACACAGTAGTAGGCTGGGAGGAGAGTCTTACAATCTTTACAAATTGACCGAAGCAAAAACAAGAGCCAAGGACAATATTATCTTTCACTCAGTGAGCGAAAATGTGTGAGTCAAGTCCTTCTTCTTAATACTTTTCGATGCTTATCTTTCTTCTTACCCATCAATTCGTTATTGGAAATTCCTTTAGCCATAAATATTCATGTTGGTATTTGCGATTCACAGTTTAGACTTTCAGTTATTATCAAATTAAATCAGCATTTAGGGTAAAAAATAAAGTTCAAAGTTATGTTTGTTTTGCCACTTCTGCAAACAAATTGGTAACTTTATTTTGAATGTTTTTCTTGTATGGCATAACTGCTCAAAACTTACACTTACCACAGTGGTTAGCAGTATACATTAAATAATAACAATATAACATATCAATATTTAGGACGGTGAATCAATCGGCAAAACTATAAGAACATTTGATCTGCTTCAAAGGGAACGTGCTTAGGCTACTGTATATTGAAAAAAAAAAAAGAATGCTTATGACTGGAAGCCAACTACCGCTGTAAATGCAAGGACGGGGCTTAAGACATGTGGGGAGCCCCACAACACCACAGATATAATGTGCGGCGGTGCACAGTTGTGTAGAGACTGCAACCTTGGACACAGATGCTGTGACTCAGTCTGCTGGTCTGAATAGATTCTGACCATAGTGCATCAGCGCTGCAAACGTTAAGCATTTAATCTGGTATATTTGAATGTTTAAAAAACAGGGATCTGAATGGCTGACAGGAGCTGAAATTCAAAGGCAAAAGGAAACAAAGAGCTGTGGGGGAAAAGATCCAGATAGGTTAGGGCTGGGGTGCCTGGCACATAATGCTTTGATTATGCAGCACAGGGAGCCTGGGTAAGGCGAGCCTCCACCCAGCTCATGGATCAGCTTCACTAGACCTTGGCTGAGGACTGATTCTGATTCAGAGGCATTCACATCCTTCAGCCATCCTATTCAGAGTGTGACTTTGATGGAATAATGGCACAGTATTCATACCAAATTATTCTAAACACTTATATCATCATTTTCATTCCAACCCAATTGAGGCACATAGCACTTCTTACTTAAATTTGTTGGATATATCCACAAGGACATAACCAAAAACAAGATTGGTACCCATGGTATTTAGGCCCCGTCCCAATTCTCATCCTTGCCCTTAAAAAGTACAATTGCCCTAGAGTTTGCGCGTGCCCGCGGGAGTGGAAGGGTGTCCCAATACTTAGGGAGAAGAGACGAGGGCCTTCACACCCCTAAAAACCACCCTTGAGCGCAAGTGAGGTCCGGAGCTCACTTGCGAGTGAGGGTGATCCCATAATGCATTACGATAGCTGTTGGTAAAGCAGCTGTCGGGCAAAGCCGCGCCACAATGAAAGAAAACAACATGAAACACCCGCGCACAAGTTTGTGCGGAACATGAGCAAGCTCCAAAGCGTGTGCGAGTTAGTTTTTAAAGCGTGTGTTGATGCCGTAAAGTTCGTTCCCGAAGCGGCCGCAGCAAGTGGCGTTCACTGAGGCTTCAGAGATGTGGATCCATGTTTTTATTATAGAT